TAAAAATGATTTAAATAATAGTTTTTAACAAATGTTTGTATTTTACAAACAAATGGATAACTCATATTTGAAATGTAATCTTTGCAATATTTACTAACTAAAAATTTTAACTTTATTTCTAACTTTTGTTTCCACAATTCATATTCATAGCTTAATTCAAGTTCATTATTAATCCTTGTTTTGTCAAAAAACACATCCCTTTCCGTACAGATAGTAATCGCTGGTAAACGCAAACTATTGCTCGGCTTTACGTTAACGCTATAGATATTGGGATAACTGAAATAATTTGTGGTTAACTCTACGGCCCCATAGAATAACACACAAAAACTTAAAACTTTTGCAATCAATTTAAGTAAAGTTGCAAAATTAAATCTATGATTAATTATTATAATACGAATGAATTCATGTATTTTTAAAAGAATGTACAATAATTCCATGATTTTATTGTATACGGTATATTGTCAAAATTGAATCTACTTTTAATGAATAAAATATTTGCTGTAATTCAATTGTTTTTATAAAATAATTGATTTTTTAAAACCAATTTCCTTATACAGATATATTTATAATATTTGAATAACATGGTTGCTATGATTAAATACAATAAAACATATCAAACTAATATTAATAATAAATATTGCATGTGAAACACCCTTATTGTATTATAAATAAAAATTTAATATTTCAATTTATTATTTAATTAGTTACAATGCAATTTATAAGACTACTCCCAATGAATAAATATGTGTTGCTATTACAGTTATTTGATAAATATTATTTGATTACATTTCTTTAATTAAAATGATTACAACAAAAATATGTAGTGGTTTTGTACAACAACGCGTACTGCTTGGCATAGCTATGGCATAACAACAATTCAAACAATGCGAATAGAATAAAGAATAAAGCAATACCCGAACGGTGGTTAACGTATAACATTGTTTGAACATTGTTTATAATAATAGTAAATATTCTGTTGCTTTTTATTTGATGAAGTTTCAGCTTGTATAATAATAAGTACAACTGTGACAACTTATGCTTTTTACATTTATGAAAATTTAAGATATATCAAATTATCAATACAGTATAAACTTATTTACATAAATAACACAATAAAATATGCCACTTTATGTATAAATTATATTTATAAATTGTTTTGTTAGTTTAAGAATAATATTATTTTAAATTATATTTGGCAAAAATTAATACCTCGTTACAATAATATAAAGTTATATAAAATTTTATTGTAAAAAATATATATTATTTCGTTTACATTAATTAAAACATTTGATTTTTGAATTAATTTTGATTGAGATTGATATGATTTTTCTATAATATTATAGTTTACATCCAATATTTTATTTATCAATGTTAGAGCTAAGGCAAGTAGCCTTCATTATATTAATATAAACATATAAAATATTTTTACAGATCAAGCATAATAAGATAAATTATATAAACATGATGCCAAACTCTATCATTGAGTACGATAGGTAACAACAATATACATGTAGTGTTACTACTTTAAAATATATAAAATGTTAGTTACAAATTTAAAATATTGTAAAAATTGTTTGCTAGTTGATAATTTATTAGGACAAGTATGTAAGTGTATTATGTTTGTGGGGGTATATGCATTTTCACTATTTAAATGCATATTAATAATAATATAAAATAAATTTTTTGAATTTTTGTAACATTTTAAATATTATCAAACATTGTAATCAATTTTGTAAAAAAATAAAACTAAAATATTTAATAATATGAATGACCATCGTGATAATTGCTGGCTGGCTCAAAACTGGGACAAATATGTGTACACATTATGTATTCTGCTTAACTCGTTCAATTTTGTATGTACTGCATATATTTTACACTGTTTTAAATCAAATACATTATAATTTTGAAAATATCATTTTTTTCAAATAGGGCATAACGCTTACAATATTCTCGCCGGCAATGGTTGACATGAAGTTTATATTCAACACATCCATGGCTTACATATCACTTGTGTCCACATTTTCAGCATTTGGTTGTGTTATCGGAGCGATGAGTATGTCATGAGTGAGTGAGTGAGAGAGAGAGAGAGAGAGAGAGAATTAATTAACAAAAATTAAAATTATAACAAACTGTACATACTAGCTGGATTCTTGTACCAATACATTGACCGACAAAAGACAATGATTGTTATGACATTCAACATGGTCATATTCACAGCGCTTGTGCCGTTTTGTCTGAACATATGGTTACTCTACTTATGCACAGTTATCGCAGGCATCGGTGGCAGCGCTTGGGATAGCAGTGCATCCGTTTGGGTCATCGAGTTATGGGGCGACCGGAGCGGGTCGTGGCTACAGATATCTGGTCTCATGTTTGGCGTGGGCTCTACCGCCGCCTCAATGATTATCAAACCCTATCTGACCGGTGATCTGTCCCGTGGGGTCGACACCACTGCCGACTCGTTGGCCTCCATAATGAACAGCACATCCGTTGAGGACATAAACGATAGTGTGGACAGACGTGCGCTAATACAAGTGCCGTACGTGATTGCGGGAGCGATATGTATGATTGGTAAGTTATTTAATAAGATTGATCTAGGATCTTTGTTTATGACTAATTAATTATTTCGAGTTGTGTTTCTCTAAGTTAATTTAAAACGTGCTTTTTAATCATTTTAATAGGACCTGTGTTACTACTAATAACGCACCTTGTTAAACCATATCACGTGCCTATTAATAGGCTTAGACATCAAACATCTGACACAAAACGGGAAGACAAGATCGACCCATTGGTAGACAATACTGCAAACCCGGAGCCGACTATAGTAGCCCTGAGCTCCACAATGAGAACAGTAATAATAGCATTGATCGCCGTTTCCCTTATGCTATACGTGGGAATGGAAAGTCCGTACTTCGCCGACAGTCCCACATATTTTCAATACCTGACCATCAGTTTGTCGGCCCAACAGTCGGCCGATCTGTTGACAGCCGTCACCACTACCTATACGTTGGGCCGAATATCGGCCGCATATATGGCCAGCAAATTGAGTCCCGAAATAATGCTCGCCATTCACTATGCAATCATTGGTTTATCATTGAGTACATTATATTTGGGACAGACATCGATAATAGCCATATGGATTGGAAATGCATTGTTTGGTTAGTAAACTATACTAAATAATATTAATTATATTCTATTATGATAACAATAATTAAATTGTTCTAGGTTTAGGACTAAGCGCCTGTTGGTCAACTTATTTATTGTTGGCCGAGAAATTTATCACGTTAAATAATAGGATTACAGCCGTATTCTCGATAGTGGCCGGTATATTATGGTTGACCGGGCCATTTGTGATTGGCCCACTCATTGAAAAGCACCCTAATGTATTAATTATACTCGAGTTTGTTTATTTCATTATTGCCGTCATGGTATTTGCCATTTTATGCTGGTTTTCCAAACGATTACAACGACCACCATCATCACAAATATTTTAAAATAAATAACAATGATTATTTTTATAAAACTTATTCTTATGTTTTAAAATGTTTCTACCTGTGTAAAATAATCAAATAATAATTAATTCATTTTAAAAGCTTTTAGTTCTTTTCTCCAATTAATCAATCCATATATTTCCGGTTATAATATAAAACTTCAAACAAGATAGTTTTACAGTTTGTTTAATCATATATAAATAAATTGTATTACAAATTGTGTTGCTATATGTAAAATGTGTATTAAAAAAATATTTTGCAAAACGACTTTTAAATTGATTTATAAAATAATGAATCTATCATAGACATTTTATAAATTTAATAATTGTCACTTCACAAACCCATTTTAGCAATGTAGATTTATTCAATATAATACAAAAACCTATGATAAGGTTAAGATTACAGTTTATTAAATAATGTGAATATTATTTTATTAATTTTTTAAATATCATTAATTAATTTAATATTATATAATTAATGTAGTTTTTTACAATGAATAATTTATTTTAATATAATTTTAATATTAACTAAAATATTTATTAAAAATATGGTGTTAAATAATTAATTAATAATAAACAGTTTTAGTTATTTTTAAAGTAACTCTGACGAGAATGTGAATTGTGAAAATTGTGAGAATATTTTAAAAACTATTAATTGTTTGATTACAAATATATTAATACATTTTTATAAATTTTACTTGTTAGTATATCATTTTTTCGCGATAAATAAATTGTATTTATTACTATATGTTGAAAATTAATTGTAATGTTATTTTTAAACCCTAATTACAATTTATTAAAATTATTCTCCAATCAATTAATACACAAATGTTATAAACTATTGTACGTACTGTAACAATACAATACAATTAAATGCTAGACAACGTTTTTTATCTTGTTCTGTTAGAAAATATTTTAATATTTTTAGACCTTGGTAAATTCCTACTAATAGACATTATTTAGTTAAGCAATAAATATAAATTAAACATTATTATTGGGTAGCAAATGAATTGCTATATAATATCAGACAATTTATTGGCAATGTTAGGCAATTTCGATATGAAATTGAATTGAATTGTAAATTAATCTTGAATCAAATTTATATCATTAAATGCAATAAAGTTTTAAACCGATACGAGTTATACACAAAATAACTTTTCATCACATGTACTGATAATTAATTGATTATATTTAATATGATAATTTGCAATTAAAGATACAAGTTACATTTATATAACTTGTTCAATGTAAACTTACCTATGGTGCAAATGGCCCCTACGATCATATATGGCACTTGTAATAGAGCTCAGAGAGAGAGAGAGAGAGAGAGAGAGAGAGAGTCAAGGAATGTGATAGAGTTTTTATTGAGATGAATTAAATTAACCCTAAATATGGTTGTTACCAAGAAGTAACATTAATAAGCGTTAAGTGCATTATAAAATTTTATAAATTTGTATTACATTGTAATGTTTAACTTATTATTATAAAGTTAATGTATGAATTTATCAAGATGGGTTATTTAATTTAAGCTTGTGGTCATTAGTCTAGAATTTAATTGTAATTATAATTTTAATATTTAGGAATAATTAGTTAAAAATTTAAGTAAGAAATTATAAATATGATTAATAAAAAAGAAATAATAGCCATGAAAAATGGATTAGTTCAAAATTGGGATAAATATGCGTATACGTTTGTTATGTTGCTAAATTATTTTAATTGTGTAAGTAAACATTTGTTTTATTCAAAATGCAAAAAAATCTAAACATGGTTATTTGTGTTTACCAAATAGGGTTTAATGATAACAATATTTTCTCCAGCAATGGTTGACATGAAGTTTGTATTCAACACATCCATGGCTTACATATCACTTGTGTCCACATTTGCAGCGATTGGTAGTGTTGTTGGATCTATGGGTATGTTTACTTACACAATTAAAATAATTTAGCAACATAACAAACGTATACGCATATTTATCCCAATTTTGAACTAATCCATTTTTCATGGCTATTATNGAGAGAGAGAGAGAGAGAGAGAGAGAGAGAGAGAGAGATCAATATTAATTAGAAATTATTAATTTTAGCTGGATTCCTCTATAAATACATCGACCGTCAAACAACCTTGGTCATTATGACTTTTAATATAGCAATATTTACAACTTTAATACCGTTTTGTCCGAACATATGGTTACTCTACTTGTGCACATTTATAGCCATGGTCGGTGGCGGCGCCTACGATAGCAGTACATCCGTTTGGATTATAGAGTTATGGGGCGACCAATCGGGCCCATGGCTACAGATATCGGGCCTGACTTACGGATTGGGCAATATTTTAGCCCCGATGATAGTTAGGCCATATTTGACTGGAGACCTGTCCCATAGGACAGAATCAGTCAACTCATTGGTTCCCAATATAAACAATACTAATAATATAGATATTAACAATTCTGTTGATAGACGAGCCCTATTACAAGTGCCATATATGATCGTAGGGGCCATTTGCACCATCGGTAAGTTTACAATTGAACATGCTAAATGAATTAACTTGTATGGTTAATTGCAAATTATGATATTAAATCAATTTTATTATAGGACCTGTGTTATTATTAATAATGCACCTTGTTAAACGATACCATGTACCAATGGATAGACTTACGCAGCAACCTATTGAAAGTAAACCGTGTGCTCTGGCAGAAGTGGTTGAGACCAACAAACCCACAATTCCCTCAATGGTAGCCCTGAGCCTCACAATGAGAGTATTAATAATAGCATTAATAGCCGTATCCATGAGTTTATACGTTGGTATGGAATTCGCCTATTTCTCCAACAGTCCCACATATTTTCAATACCTGGCCATCAGTTTGTCGGCCAAACAGTCGGCCGATCTGTTGACAGCCGTCACCACTACCTATACGTTGGGCCGAATATCGGCCGCATATATGGCCAGCAAATTAAGGCCCGAAGTAATGCTCGCTATTCACTATGTAATCATTGGCATATCGTTGGGAACATTATATTTAGGACAGACATCGATAATAGCCATATGGATTGGTAATGTAGGCTTTGGTTAGTATGGAATTTAAAACAAACATAGATCATTTATTATTTATAATTATGACTATTAAAATTAATTACCATAAACATTTTATTTTAATCATTCAAACAGGTTTAGGATTGAGTGCCCTTTGGTCCGGGTATTTATCATTGGGCGAGAAATTTATCATGTTAAATAATAGGATTACAGCTGTATTCTCGATAACAGCGAGTATGTTATGGTTGGTGTCGCCATTTTTTATTGGCCCCTTTATTGAAAAGCACCCGAACGTATTGATGATACTCGAGCTTGTTTATTTTGTCCTATCCATTGTGGTCTTTACCATGTTATGGTTTACAGCCAAGCGATCACAAAGATTGTTATCGTCGCAAATTAAATAACTTTAGCAACTTTAATTTAAAAAATTGTCCTTGCACTAATGACATTTTTTAAATTAATAATTTTATATAGGAATTTTAAATAATTAAAAGTATTAACTAATTATTATTAAAATAGTTACTTTTTAAATAATTAATTAGCACTTGTTAACTTTTGTGTAATTTTTAAAATTTTGTATTATTTGTTGACTAGAAAAATAAAATCTAATATTATTTTATAAAGGTTATAGATGCATTAATAAGCAATACACTGCGTTAGAACATAATGACATAATGAACGTTACTGCACTTAATTATGATAAATATGTTTCTAATTGAGCATGGTTTGGTGCAAACGTTTAGATTAATGCACATGATCGTTTATAGTATTTGATATAACGGTACAGTTTAATACTATAGATTAGTATCCTTAGTACAAACATAAAAGTTATTTTAAAATATCATCCACATAAAATAAGTTTAGAGATTATAAAGTATTAACATTTTTATATTAGTACCTAAAGTATATAAATACTGACAATAGATCAAGATTTAAAATTAACAAATATTCACTGCAACTAGCTATGTTTATGTAAACAATTGTCTCACCATGAGTGATGAGAAATATAATAAAATTAATAAAAATGGTAAAACTGATGACACAACCAATCATAATGAAATTAGAAATGTTAACTACGAAGACAATTGTCTAAATCAATGGGATAAATACGTATACACAATATGTATACTTGTTAACTATATATTCTATGTAAGTATTAATAAATTATATTAAAATTTACCATCACAATTATAACTACTTTATATATTATTAACAACTGACCAAGGGCATGGCAAACAATATTCTGGCGCCCACCATGGTTGATATGAAGTTTATGTTTCGCACATCGATGTCACTTATATCCTATGTAATAACTTTAGGTGGTGTGGGGTATATGATTGGCTCATTAAGTATGTAACAAAATAAACACATTGTTATTTAATTAGTAATAATTTGAGTTATTAATAACTAATTAAATATTACCATAATGTAATTTTAGGCGGATTTTTATATCGATGGATTAACAGACAAATCACCCTAATTATAATGACTGTAATAATGGGTGTATTTTGTGCGTTAATGCCTATTTGTACCAATCTATGGCAATTATATCTATGTTACTTTACCCTATCATTGGGCTCCGGGGCGTGGGATAGCAGTAACGCCGTGTGGGCTATAGAGATGTGGGCCGACAACAGCCCACCAGTGCTACAGTTGTCGCAAATGATGTCCGGTTTGGGCTCAATATTGGCCCCATTATTGGTCAGACCGTATCTAACGGGCGATTTGTCCGACGATAGACTTAACTCAACGGCAAATGATTTATTAAACTTATTGGTGAACAGGAGGTCTCGCCTAACCCTACCCTACATGGTTACCGGTGCCATGTGTTTAACAGGTATAAATAATATACTTACATTCTAGTATATATTGGTTGTTTAATTCTATCATGATACATTTTTTGTTAGTGCCTATTGTTTTGCTGGTGGTGTTTGCTGTGAAGAGATATAAAGTACCAAAAATATGTACACAAATTGATGGCACAGCACAAGCATGTGATATATCGGTGACAGAAAATATAGCTACTATTCCAGCGCCGGAGTTGTCAACAAAAACGAGGAATGTAATAATTATTTTAATAGCATTAGGGTTGAACTCGTATTGGGGACTCGAGACGTGTTATTT